TTTAACTGGAACTTTAAAAATGATGCAACTTAACATCATAAATGAAAACTTAACATCTTAGGTGGAAAACATTCAAAGTGCTTTAAAGTAACAGCTATGCCGGCACGGTGAAGAACACTTTCTTTTAAAAGACAAAATCCATCTAGCCCTTTCGGCATATATCTCCATTCGCTGGATTCAGACTTCAGCTCCTACGTGTTTTGGACTTAAATGGCCGGACTGGATCAGGACCGGAACAGGATGGGAACCGGAATCTATCATCCCCGGGCAGGTCTATTCCGGCTTGAACTAAAATGAACTGCGGTGCCACTAAGGAAAGCACCTCCTTTTATTGACGGCGGTTGCCGTTACTACAGGCGACTATGCAAATATTTAACAATATGGGCTTTGTTCATAACATGTTGTATATATACTCCATTTCTTCCCATACTCGAACCAACACATCTCTTGTCTTTCAGCGATTTCACCAAGGGTGTTCTAAATCCTAGATTTGAACATTATGCCTGTTGACTTTGCTACTGATATGGAAGGTCACCTCATCCCTGAGGACTATCCTGTCTCCCAAATCATCATTTTCCCTGAATTCCAACATGTCTACACTGAAAACAGTGTAAAATTGTTTCTCATCTTTGGTGAATGCCTACACAAGTATCACCTTGCAAGCCTTGAATTTCAAATGCTTACGAAGAACATCTCAGAGTCTTGAGCAGGGCAGTGCTAATTCTCCAGACTAACTTCTTAAGGCTGCATTGAAAGGATTACCATACTGTATTCCACTGTCTCCTCTGAATGTGAAGGACAGCCAGTGCTTTTGCTTCTGCATAGGTAACCTGTCTCCATGAGTTGTGCATGCCAGTGCTTAATGGATTCTTGTCAGGTGGATCGACCACAGACTATCGTCAAAAGTTTCATGAAGCTGCACAGAATAAAATATCATTCATTCTTATTACATAAAACTGGATGTGAAATGTTAGGGTCAGAAAATCCCTCTGATGACTATTGATAAAGTTGTTAGGGATAATTTGCTGCGTAATTGGACAGCTTGCTAAAATGCTTTACATTCCATGAGCCATTCTTTTCTTTCTAGCAATTCCTTATTACTAACAGCTATTAATATGCATCCTTTAAGTTCTAATCTAATGCGTAGTTTTAAGTGAAAAGTCAATATCAAAATGTATTATTAATTACTGAATCTTCAGTTATTAGCAGAGAAAAATATAAACATAGTAGTTCACAAAAAAACGACAAGCTCTACTCAGCAATTATTATTTTTTTTTTATTTTGAGAAAACAAGACAGGCAACTGTATGAATTAATGTAGTGAAACATATATTATATATATACTTTTTGCTTTTCTAGAGAAATAATTTGAAAATATGTGTGTAAACCTGTATGTATATATTTCACATCAGTATTCTGAATTATTTGAAAGTATATATGATTTTTACTAATACACAGTTTTCAGAGGTTTTGAAATAAGGTGGCAGTCACTTCAGGGAATATAACTGATGTATAGAATACAAAGCCATTAATCAATATAAACTGAAAAAAAGAACTGTAATTAATAGAAAGTGAGATTAAGTTACAAAATCTAAAATTTCATTAATTAGGCTAATTGAAATGTGTATTCTTTATGCTATAGTATATCATTGTTTTCACTGCAGTATGGTGCCAAAAAATTAACATTTTAAAATTATTAGAAAAATTCTTTTCTAAAACTTTTATAATTGCCCTCCATTTTTCATATCTTGTTTATAGCATTAACAATAATCATATGAAAAGTTGTTCTCTTCCCATACGTTTATCATGACAAGTATACATATTTAGTTTTTGAAAAGTTTCTATCCTCTCATATGATTGCAATAATGGTAACTAAACATATTTACTCTACTAGTATATCATGAAAATACCTTTTTTTTTTTTTTTTTTTTTTCCCCTCCTTCTGTTGTATGTAAAGAACGCTTAGGTTCTTTTCTGTGGTATGTTAACTAAAAAAAAAAAAAAAATTAAAGCCTTATACAATAAAATCTAGTCTCCAGGCATGAAAGCAAAATAAAAGGCTGTTTAACCAAGACCAAAATTGTCTATTGGAAAATGAAAGAAAAAGAAGTGAAGTGCATTGGCATCACCAGCATGCAAAATTAGACATTAATAAACACAGAAAATAACATTTACAATAAATTATACCACCAAGAAAAATAGATACTCTTCTGTTATCGGAACCTGATTCAGAAATGTAGGTATACACACACATGTGTATGTACTTATTATACATACATACATTACATTTCTGAATCTGGTCGCAATAACAGAAAAGTATGTAAGAGTATACATAGTATCAGCACACACACACACACAGAAAAAAGTATCTGATGTGGACACCATATGACTTCCTCGTATGGCCTATTAAATTATACACTTCCTCCTGAACAGTATGGCTTTAGGAGGGGCATTGCATGATGGATCAGGTTTTATATTTTTGTCAAAATGTCAGGGATGTCCAAAATCTTAGGCCTACCAATCACACCGTTGCTGCCATTCTGGACCTGTCTAAAGCCTTTGACAGGGTGTGGGAAAACAAACTCCTTTGCAGCAGAGTTAATGTCAGGGAAAGTCTTGCCATGGCTTGCTGACTTTTTAAGAGCCAGATATATTAGAGAGAAATTTAGAAACAGCGTTTCTGGAAGACTTAGAACGGGCCAGGGTATTCCTCAGAGATCAGCACTTAGTCCCACTCTGTTCTCTCTTTTTACTGCTGGGACTAATGGCAATCAGTGTGTAGGTCTATATGCTGATGATCATATATATATGCTGATCATATATATATGCTGGTCTATATGCTGATAGTATTATTATCTGGAATAGCAGTTCATGTATTACTTCTGCTCAGGACCATATTAATTCTTCCCTCCTTGATCTTGAGAACTTTGGCGCAAAGCACAAGATCATTTTTAACCCCTCAAAGTCTGTTTCCAGCTCTTTTACAACCAGTAGACATCTGTATAATTTACAGCCTAACATCTTTCTTCTAGGTAGGAGACTGAACTGTGAAAAACATCCTAAATATTTGGGATTTCTTCTGGATCAGGAAATTCTTGGCCATGATCATATTGACAATTTGGTTTTGAGAGCTAAACAGAGACTAAACATCTTAAAATTTATTTCTGGTAGAGACTGGAGTGTGGATGCTCGAACTCTAAGAAACACATACATTGCTTTTATTCGGGTTATTTTGAAATATGGTGTTCAGGTATATCAAGCTGCGTCTGTCAGTAATCTTGCAAAACTGGAAAGAGTTCAACTTTCTGCCGCCAGAACCATAACTGGTTTCCATAATAGCTGCCCGAGGGACATAGTTCTGTATGAAGCTAATCTTCAACCCCTCAGACTATGGAGTAGATTTCTTCTGGCCAGATACCTTGCTAAGCTCACTAGTTAAGGTGATCAACACAGAACTTCTTGTTTTGTACATAACTGGAACAACAATCATTGCAGAAACAAAGATGTTTATGATTATTTCCATACAAATATTATTCTTTCTTGTATGCATCATAGAAAAATCTAATAAACTGCTGATACTGACTTTTAGATTTCAGGCAGAAAATAAGTATAGATTTTTTTTATATGTAATAAAAAATTTGTACATTTAATTAACAAACTTTGTTAACTGGGGGGGAGGGATCCTTTATAAGAATTGTCTTGCTTTTATTCCAATTTAATAATAAATTTTGATGCTTTAAGTTTATATATACATATATATAGAGAGAGAGAGAGCTGCATATCAGCTACTTTTAGATAATGCATTCGGCCCATGTGTAATTTGAGTTTGAGACCACAGCCTTATTCTACGTCATTAATCCATTCTAGATCCTTAGATGTATACTTTTCCAGTAAGAAATAAAGGGAAAATAATTAATCCATTCTCATAAACAAATTATAGTGTAATTATTATAGCACTGTTTAATACTAAAATACAAATGCAGTGGGTAATATATATATATACTGTATATAAATGCAGCATTGTATGATGATACTGTACATAAATGTTCGCTATCCAAATCAAAAGCAGTTTTTCAACATCCTGTCTCTAATCTTTGTTTGGTAATTATTTTCACTCACTTTGCAATGTCAACTGATTTAATAGCGCCTTTGATTTTCATAACTGAAGACATCATCGAACACTATGCAGTAGCCAAGTCCTGGACATGCATGCCATTTTCCTACATTTCAGCAATCTCTTTTTTCACCTTCGTGATAATCTTAACAATTTTCTTCATTGCTCGACTCCTCTTGTTAACTTTTCTCAAACTTTAAATTAAAACAATAAATTTGCAAAAAATATAAGCAAAAGTAACACAAATCACTTGAAAAATTCAGAATTATAGTGCAAGTTGTTTACTTAATAATAACAACAGACATACCAATGCTCATGAGCAGTTAATGTAGCTCACACAATCGCGTCTCATCGAACTCAAATAGTAAAGAAAATAAAAATTTTTGCATGTAAATTGGGTATAATTCAAAGCAGACATTACCATTGTATTTAAATTAACATTTTACAGGATATAAAAGTGAATAAGAAATCCTAAAAGAAGAGCCATTCAATGTGACTTCTCTCATACAGGTCTTCATTCTTTATTAAAAACACTTCATTAAACAAAGATAGTGTCTCTTACTCAGCTAAAAACATGCATTACTGTAGTCCTCCTTCCTGTAACAATCATTTAGACATTTGATATTCTTGTAGGCTATGGATTTATAGATATTTTCTCAATAACTATGCTAGGGTTCTTGCAAAGGAGGGCATGCTGAACACTTGATAATTATGAGCAACTATGTAAAGAAATTTGTACAATATTAACACAAGCTATGCTCTGCTCATTGTTACCCAAATTACAGGTGGATAGAGAATTGCTGTAGTGATGAAATTTTGAGCTAACAGCTTTTTGTTACCAAGGGAAAAAATATAAATTTATGGCATGAATTTTGATGCAAACTGCCTCCTCATATGACAATGTATTTATTTTCATGAATTAAAAAAAATCCAGTAATTTTCAATACATGCTGTAATATCGCTTGAGGTTTACAAATCGTTTTGAATTCATTATTATCTCATCATCCATAGCATGACAGCCCAGGGTCTAAGGCTAGACGTTTCCAACCACCTCTACTAGCAACCAAACTCCTTCAGTCCTTAGTTTTAAGGATTAAATAGTCCTCCTCTACAGCATCTATCCATCAAAGTCTAGGTCTTCTTCTTGTATTGCCTGGTCTAGCTGAAAATTAAATTCATTTCAAAATAAGGGAAAAAAAGATTTTTTTCTTCCAAAATAAATCATTTATAAATTTTGTCTAACTTATGAAGTTTCTAACTTTGGAAGACTAGTTCTATTTTTTTTCCAAATAAAATGATATACCGGGTGATCAAAAAGTCAGTATAAATTTGAAAACTTAATAAATCACGGAATAACGTAGATAGAGAGTTAAAAATTGACACACATACTTAGAATGACACGGGGTTTTATTAGAACCAAAAAAAAAGTTAAAAAAATGTACTGTTATCGGGCTTTTTTTCTTCGAGGAAATGCGTGATTCTGGTTTTGTAACTGCTACCGTGACGGGTGAGAGGTACGCCGATATGTTACAGAATCGCATCGTCCCCAGCCTGGCTGATAAACACCTGCTGGAAAATATGATTTTTATGTAGGATGGCACTCCACCCCATATTGCTAGATGCGTGAAAGATCTCTTGCGCGCGTCGTTTGGTGATGATAGTGTGCTCAGCAGCCACTTTCGTCATGCTTGGCCTCCTAGGTCCCCAGACCTCAGTCCGTGCGATTATTGGCTTTGGGGTTACCTGAAGTCGCAAGTGTATCGTGATCGACCGACATCTCTAAGGATGCTGAAAGACAACATCCGAAGGCAATGCCTCACCATAACTCCGGACATGCTTTACAGTGCTGTTCACAACATTATTTCTCGACTACAGCTATTGTTGAGGAATGATGGTGAACATATTGAGCATTTCCTGTAAAGAACATCATCTTTGCTTTATCTTAATTTGTTATGCTAATTATTGCTTTTCTGATCAGATTATTGCTTTTCTAATAAAACCCCATGTCATTCTAAGTATGTGTGTCAATTTTTACCTCTCTATCTACATTATTCCGTGATTTATTAAGTTTTCAAATTTATACTGACATTTTGATCACCCTGTATTATAAAGACAAGGCAATCGGTAATTTGTAAAAAGAATTTTTAGTGAAAAAGGGCTGCATAGGAAGCTAAAGAAGTTTTACATACTCCTTATGTTCAAAATATTCATAGAACATTTCTGTAATATACATAGCTCAGGTTGAAATGTAAAGCATTACCTAGCCATTTTTGAGGTACCATCCATTGGAACACACACACTTACTCTAGTACTCCTAGACATTCCAGAGAGAATGTTTCTTGTCATTTATTATACACTACTGCATCTAAAATAGCTTGAATTGTCTCAAAACTCTAATCCCATAAATACATCTTAATAAGAGAGGACAGTGGGCTCAGAGAAAAGGAAAATTTGTAAATATAATGACTGGACACGTGATTTTTTTTTTTTTTTTTTTTTTTCAAAATAAATAAACATTAATTTCCTCAAAATCTGATATTATGCTCAATAAATAAATAAAAGATACTTTGTCTGCAATCTGATCCAGACAATGTTCGTTGTACATTTTACTGATAAGATGCTTCACACTCTATAGTAACCAAATTAGATGCACGACTTTTACACAAATTTTTTAAACAGAGAAGTATTTTATAATAATTAAAGGGATTCTACAGTAATCATTAATAAAAATGTTGTTCATGTTAAACTTAATTTAAATTTCTTATGTCAATGCAGTTTTTTTTTCAGCAAGAGAAAATTTTTAAATGACTGATTTTTTTTATAATAAAAAAAAAAATTTATTGTTCTCATTTATCATGCAAACTATAATACATCAGAAAAAATTAAATTATTTATATATTCATAACAATCACAAACTTTTATTAAATCTTCACATTTGATATCTTTCATATTCATTTCACTGTCAGAATATTTTATAAACAAATCTCAGGACCATGAGAGTGCTGAAAAATAAATATAAATACACAGTATCAAATTAGTAGTACAAAAAGTATAAAAAATTACACACATTTAATATTTTTAGCTAATGTCTACATAAGATATTTATTACTTAGTTAAACCATGCAATAACCTAAAGAAACCGAAAAAAATATATACAATGCTTTATATATTATATGCATTATCAGGATTGCCGAGACTCGCAGCAAGAATCCAAAAAATTTTGAAAGCCACAACTAAATTTCCCTAGAGTCAAAATTCTGTATTTAAATCATTTTAAAAGTCCTGAAATACATTTCATTAAAAGAAATCTTTGAAGTAAATTAATGAGAATTTTGCACATTTTATGTAATCAATATGGTTACATAGCAATAAATTTTATTTCTCTTCTTCTATATATCTAGTAGAGTTTGTTCCTGCAGTATAAAATTTGAAATGGCTGTATAATGCAACTAAACATTCTTTCTTCACATCAGTATCACTGCCAGTATTTGTTACAGAAAATGTATTTCAGATAGGTATCTGAGTCAAACTTTGACTACTTTCTCTGATATATTACTGAAGATTTAATATAGAGTATAATAATGTCCATGTTGTATGTCAGATACTGAAATGACTAAATATTATTCTGGAATCTAGTGTGCTTCAAAATGAAACAACTACTAATTATGATTCTAAGAAACTTTTAGGTATGGATTAAACAAGAAGATGGATATATAGTATAAAAAAATATTACAAATGTCACATATTAAGTTGAAGAATGGAGAATTCTGCCCTTTGTACATAATATGTACATTTATTTTTTTCCATATTTCTATCCCCCCCTCTTATGTATCCCATAGCTTTTGATATTATCCTGTTTGATGTTTGACCCCTTAGGTTCCAGATTAGAAGATGTCACCACAAATCTGCTAAGGAAAATGTGCTTTGCATAACATATAAGATTTTCCCTAGAGTCAAAATTTTATATTAATTTATGATATCCCTCAGTGGCAGGACAAATTACACAGATTTATATTATTCACAACTGAAGGTATGGGACAAAAGCAAATAAGCAAATGTTTATACTTGAGGTCTCAAAAGTGCAGCATTTTGAAATGATGCATATTTGAAAGGGAGTCTGCAGGTGTCTGGGATACTGTGACAGTGGAAAATCAAAGATTTTATTTCAAATGTGAAAGTTTACATAGCAAAATTCCAACATAAGTTTACATGCACTGCAAACCAGGTGGTGAATCACAGTATAATCTTTCATGGGCTTTTCTGCTTGAAATTCATATCACATGTACAATGACTGAAAGACAAAAACTATCAACAGACGTAGGAAGTACAATATTTGTAATGGACTAGCTCCTCGAGCAACATGGAAAGAAATATCTCAAGCTAAAATGATTTCACCAGTACCAGGGTATACTGTATTTTAAGAAAAGCTTTGTAGAAAAGAAACATACCCAATGAGCTGCTTACTGCTTAACATAACTGTGTTGAAATGAAAATTGTATAAATGATAAAACATGGATTAGATTTTAAACCAGATGAAAATCACAGTCAATCCAATAAAATCTGTCTTTGACCCTAAAAATTCCAATATGTACATATACAGATCAAGGAAATGATATTTTCCTAGGATTATAACAAAAAGGGCAGTAAAAAGTGTGAGTACAGATAATTATTGTGAATGGTTGCATGAAAAAAGAATGCATGAAAACCACCTGAATTGTTTAAGGATGGACACTTGAGTACTAATGCATACCCATATGTGAAAAGGTTGCAACATATCTGCTGACCACATAAGAGTGAGATGTTTTACCTCATTGCCCATAAAGCCTACATACGAGTCCCCCAGTCCTCAAATACTTCGATTCAAAACAGCTCAAGTGTGGACTCCTCTTTTTTACCTAGGAGAGGTTTCTTCACTGATTATCCAAGGTATTCCAGAAATGGGAAAAAAAAAGTATCCTATAACAAATAGGAAATTTTACTAGACAGGTGGTTACACAGAACCATAAGGAGAAAATATTCTGAAAAAAGTAAAAAAAGAAAAGAAAAAACAATTAAATTGCTTTCTTTTTTAGACAACATTTGCATTATCTTTTCTGCTACCCTGATGGCCATTACCTGCTCTGGAAATAAGAAGGCCATTATACCAATTTGCAGTAATGCAATTATTTGTCATTTTGTTCATTATACTGAAGAATTCATACACAGTTTGAAATTGATTAAATTATTACACACATAATGTAATTTATGAAATTAAATTACTTATTGATAAAGAAATGTATCATTGCATGATTTTCCTTTCAAAATTCAACTATATTTCAAAAATAATACTACTGCTTGTTCGAAGTCGTGCAACTCATGAAGCCCAGTTTGGTCATACCTGTTATATATTATTAAAAAATCATTATAATTTAAAACTATCCAAATTTTCAAAACAATATTAAAAGGTTATATAAAATATTAGTCTTTAAAAAATACATCTCTTCAAATTTATGTTAAAATAAATAAATAAATAAAAACCAAAGCAAAACGTTATGTTTATTTTAGTGATCACTTTGTTGATACACAAAAAAGTGAATATAGGATAATGAATTTCTAATAATAAAACCCTATTCTTCAGTAGTAGAGATGATGAGTTTGCATACCTAAGTGTAGCAATGAGACCAGCAGGCATAAATTTCCCAGAATTGTAAAATCTCACAATCATAATGCCACCCAAAGTAGTTGCGGCCACTATTTAAGATATATAAAAAAAAATTATTAGTTTATTTAAGAATTTACTATTAAGGAGTAAATTATATTCAAATATAAACAGGCTGTTAAAATGAAATTGTTACACATGAAGTATCAATAAAAATATTTTACAGAGGAGACAGGTATGTAAAACAATATTTATCTTACCCAAAGATAAAACAAAATTATTTTCATCCACAGATGTTTGATATGCACCATAAGCTAAAATACTGCCAAATGCTAGTCCAGCTACCAGAGATGGAGTACTTCCTGCATAATAAAAAAACATATTTCTTCATTTAAAAAAAGTGTACATTCATGAAAATTACATAACTAAGAATTGCATGCTATGCAACTGAGTATTTTCAACAATAGTAGGAAGAAATGAAATAACAAAAATTGGAATCATGAGTTAAAACAGCAAGATTTTTAACAATTTCAATTGCATTGCCTTTTTTACCAGCTATCAAATGAAAGAACCCACATAATACATAGAAATGGAATTAGAGAAAACAAAAATTTTGAGGAGTTTCCATTGCAGCACTGTCTTCTATAATAAAGGATAATGAAATATAGAAAGTTATCTCTGAATTAAAAAATTATAAATGGAATTGAGGCTTGGAGGTACAAAAATGAAATCTGTTTATAGTTAAGCATGATGTAGCTAATTCTCAACTCTCAATGTCAATTTTTCCATTATTTTAAGAATAGACTAAATATTAATACAAACTGTTAAAATGAGTTTCTTGCACTAATGTCTTACACAAAAGGACTTGCTTCCTAATTATTTTTTTTTTTTTTTTTTTTTTAATCTTTCAGTCTTCATCTCAAATTCTGAAATAAGCTGCCATTTGTTTTAACCAGTAATAATATCTTGCTACTATCTCCTTTCACTGCTTTTCATACTACGAAGGAACCTCAAATATAAATAGGAATGTTCATGTTTCTTGTTTGTAAAAAGTTAAACATAATTATGGGCAACATCAGCAGCCTAGGGGAACTGATTCTTTAAGGGCACCAACTAAATAGTCTTCAAAAAACTACAAATAAATTAAAGAATATTATGTCTTGAATTAAATGTTTAATTGGTAATTTTCAATTACATTAGCCCAATTAAAAAACATCACTTTTATTATGACAGTATTAATAAATTTTAAATACATTATAAATTAAATGCAATTTAAAATTCCTGAATTTAGAGATGTCTTGCAATAATTGGGAAAAATTTCATTTTCTTTATTTATTCTTCGTCACATAAACTCTTCTACGTATGATTCAAGATGGTAGCATGAGGTAATACACAGGGTTTATTATACCATTTTGTACTGTCCAACATTCTTTCAACTGTTTGTGTATAACATCCCGTGTTTGGGTCTGTGAAACTATATTTGTGGTTAACAGTAAGATGATAATATCCTGCTTCTTTCAAATCCTCTATTTTGTATCCGTTTTAAAGTAGTGTTGCTATGGAAAAAGTTATGGAAAGTTTTCGTCTTGTAGAATTAAATTCTGTGCTTGCACAGGGTGATGTAGTGAGCTAGACAGTTCTGCAACAATATGGGTGATTCAGTGTCCTGGAAAGAGATTTTGAAAGTAAGCAAACAGATGCAGCAGTTTTGCATTTTTTGAAGCGTTGTGTTGCATATGAAAAATAATCATATCCAACATAACACTATTGGAACTTGGAATACAACAAAAAATGCATATGAAAATGATGTTGTTAGTTCGAAGGATTGTTATGAGCATGATTGCCACAGTTTGGCAACTTCAACTAAGGTGGTTATGATAACACATAAGTACCCCCAGGTGTAGTGAAAAACTTAGTTTATAATACAGTCAAAAGTTGTTAATTCGGACACCCATAATCCGGACCTCAAAGCTATAAACTTTCTGCGCATGCGTCTTTTTGACGCATGCGCGCAAGACCTTTACGGCAGCAAATATGCGTGTGCGCATGCGCATAATACGTTTACGCATGCACGTTTAATATACAACGGACTGTATAAGCTAAGCTAAAATTATCTAATTCAGTTAATGTTGCAGATTTCGTTGTTCCTTAATCTTCGAATTGGATCCGGCTTATTATTTTTTGCAGACTGTTAGAGCAATATCATAAAAGTAAGCTTGAACTTCCGATTATGTCAAATAGAATTTTGGATATATATTTACTAATATGTAAAGGAGCTACAAAGCGAAAGTATGTTTCGAAGTCCATTAAACAAAAAGTGGAATTGCTGCAAAAAATAGATAAGGCATAATCCTTTGTTTATCTAACCATCCGAAATCTGTTTTATCAGTTTGGGGGGGGTGGGGGGGGGGGGGGGGGGGGGGGGGGTGGGGGGGGGGGGGGGGGGGGGGGGGGGGGGGGGGCGGGGGGGGGGGGGGGGGGTGGGGGGGGGGGGGGGGGGCGGGGGGGGGGGGGGGGGGGGGGGGGGGGGAGGGGGGGGGGGGGGGGGGGGGGGGGGGGGGGGGGGGGGGGGGGGGGGGGGGGGGAACGGTGCCGGGGGCGGACGGGGGGAAGGGGGAGGGGGGGCGGGGGGGGGGGGGGTGGGGGGGGGGGGGGGGGGGGGGGGGGGGGGGGGGGGGGGGGGGCTGCGGGGATTGCGCGGCGCGGAATGAATTGGAAGTTGATCTGTCAGCACTATCCTTATCTTCAGGGCAGGTGTTTTTATTTTATTTGGCTTATAATTCCTTACTAAATGGAGTATTTCATCTCGATGTACTCCGTCTTTGATATGATTTAAATCAAATTTCTCGTCATTATAATTCGCTTCCGATAGTGAAGAAAGTGACACAGAGGTTATTGAAAACGAAAAATTTCGATTGACAAATTAGTCGGTATTCTCGACACAGCAATTATAGGACTTCAACAAGGGAACTTTGTAACTGAACAAGAAATTATGTCTGTTTATAGAATTAAAGAGAAAGTATTATCACATAAAAAACGAAGCAACTTAAATAACTTACACTGAAAAAAAATGTTTAAATAAAAAACAAATAATATTAAGCTTTTTTTTTCCTAAATTTTGATACCCTTTAGATCATAATTGTTCTTTATTTCATAAATTACGGTTTCATATTTTTAATTTTAGAATTTCTGCATGCCATCTTACCAGATTTAAACTGATGATCTATAATCCGGAATCGCCGAAGTCCCGACGAGTCCGGATTAATGACTTTTGACTGTATAGCAAATGAACTTTCTGGTTTTGTCCAGTTTCCTATATACTTAATGCTGTTTTTATGTGGTTATATCAAACCTCCAAACATTAAAAATTGGATAAATCAACTTTATGGACATCTTCATAATTGGTACATAATTTCTGAAAGTTTTATCTGAAAAATTACTAACTCTTCAAATCATCTGTGCTTAGGCTATAACAGATAAAAATGACTTATATAACTGTTCTTTTAACTTTATCCTTCTCACATTTTTCTATATTCTAAGCAAAGGCTAAATGAGGCAGGCATAATAGCAAGTTCTTGAAAAACCGGGACATGCAAAAAATATATTGTTGTATCTACGGGTTCATGTATTTTTGGAATGATTGATGACAACACTTGATTCAAAACCCAATTTATTTGTCAGTATTACACAGGAGAGTTCCAAGGACACGTTTACAGCCATAAAAAAACTACAATAAACAAGCTAAAACAATCAGCAACACAAAATTTATGTTATCGGGCTATAACAGTGAAGATAGCTTCACAGCAAAGCACTAAGATACAGCTTCCGACTCGGTCGATCGTTTTTGAGGCTCAAGACACTACTGCTGAACTCAATGTACTCTCGATACTCTCCACGATAAAACTGTTACGCTGTATACAGACAGTACATTTATATCTTTTGGCCTGCCTTCTGAGAACATTCTTGGGAAAACTGGTAAGAATTCATTCCAGAATGTTCTCACTCCGTCTATGGCATATCACCATTTTTGTCACCAAATGGGCGATTTCGCACAAAATCTGGCAAACTGCCTTCTCCTTGCCATTTTCTGTCAACCCTAAACCTGCTTTGAGGGGAAGCTATCCTAGTGCAGATGGACACTTCATAACAAGATCTTAGGAGATCGTGTCAAGTGATCAAAAGTCAAAGAATTTGAATGAGTTTTCTGATTCAAATTCTTTGATTGAGCTGTAGGACAGAACTATGCTCAAAGCTAATGAAATTTTTGCTATCCAAAGGAAGAGAAAATAGAGAGTAAAATTTAAGGAGTGTGGAGTTGTAATTTATGTATTTAAAAAAACAGGAAATAAATAAAAGTTACTACAATATTTTTGTCATTCCTTTTTAAATTAAGAATTCCCATAATAATAAATGTGCATTTTAGAGGAAGATAAAATTATTAAGGGAAGAGTCTGAATAATTCCAAGTAAGACTACCAACATGTGGGAAAACTTAAAAGAAACAAAAAACAGCTTTAATAATTAAACATAATAATTTTAATGAAATCTTGACACTTTTTTTTTACATTTGATAGAAGTGACATTGCTAATCATTTTTTTTTTTTTTTTTAAATTTGTCAGTTGATTTGCCCCCTTTTTTTGTTTGTTACCTTTGTTTTTGTGAAATAATTCAATCTATTTTTTTATCAGATCAGACATACATAATCAAACTTTCATCCCTTGGAAATTTTTTATAGCAAGATTTCACTATATAAGATATACATTGAAATAAATTATAAAAATAGACATAATTCAACCTTAGATGGTCAATCATTTCAAGGAGGGAACAAAAGAAAGGGTTCAGTGCAATTTTCTACAGTTTTCAGATGTAGCAGGGAGGATCTACAGCTGCACATTACCTTACTGCTCCAAAGATTTTATTCTCTGTTGGATTCAACAGAAAACAAACATTTAAAATTAATCAATACAGATTACTCCATTTGGTTCTTCATTCCATAGAACAGACAGCCTCTATTGACATTTTTGAGATTTTCTTACCTAACGTAAACACAAGATGCTTATTAAAAAAAAATCCGCTTCAAATAAAATGTATCTTTGGCAGATAGTCTTCATATGCTTTGTTATATAAATAATTTGTACGTAGTGAAATATGAGTTGATAAAACTTCTTAAAATACAACACGCGCTGTTAAATCTGCAGTGACAAGGTATAAATTAATTACACTTTCCTGCATATTGCTTTTTTTAAAAGTAATGAACCATTAAATTTGCAGTAATAATCTTTAAACAAACTATGCTTTCAAATGAAATATGAAAAATGTACAAATAAAAAACATAAACCATTTTCAATAGTTCTAATAAAGGAACTATTGAAAATATGCTAATAAAGGGAGCACTGTTCATACATTATCCATAGGTTCTTGTTTCATTCAAAACTTTATTGATATGATTGATCTACAAATTTAAGTCCAATGAAGGACGGATTCATACCTGCTTTCACATATCCAATAATACCGCCAGCTGCTACAGACAAGGCATAACAGGTGCTGATAATATCAAACCCCATTGTGATTATGGTAATGAAAAAATTTAAGCTGGAATGTATATAATGACTAAAACAGTGACATAAACATACAATCCCCGTCACTCTGACATGTCATTTAAACCCAGTATGTTATGTTGCCATATATAAAGAATCTAATTATAAAAGTGGACAATGAGACAGAGGATAAAAAAACAATCCTTATTATTCCAATTTTTCGGATATCATGTATCAAGTAATGTTCTCTATAGAATAAAAAATGATTTACTTCAATAAACTTAAATTTAATTTTTCATACATGAAGCTAACCAAAAAAAATGTTTTAAAGATAGAAAAACAATTTTTTTAGTTTGGATATTAGGATGTGAGTATAAAAGTTAATATTATACATATTAGTTCAATAATTATTAAAACTTCTTGTGTTTCTTTTAATAAAAAAAAATTAATAAACATTATATTATTTGCTATTCAATTGTGGCATCATATTTTCTCAAGCCTTATTTATTATTATTTTGCCGTTCATCGTTATCTTGTGTATAATGAATTACAGTGTCTAAATGAATGGATTAGTATTATATTTTTGTTCAAGAGTATTTTAACAGTGTCTATAACTGCCAATTTAAAACTCGAGTATAATTTTTGTATTAATAGTAAACAAAGCATGGTCATGTTTAGGATCAGAACTGTCAACTAGCTTATGGAGACGAAAAGAACTGTGGTTTGTAAACTAGCATTTAAAAAAGGGAAGGCGCTTCTAATGTTACGAGTGTTTAGCATTCAGTTACACTGACAGTATGGCAAATCACTATGACATCCCGTCATGGTAAATTGGCTACTTTTATTAGTATTTTCATGTATTGATGTGTTAAAATAAATGTAGTGACGTCGTTATCAAAATTCATGGAGTGGCCTTAATAATTAATATTAGTTTCTAACAAAAATAAAAGATGGGTGTATTCATAATTGTTGAAAAAAATCACAATTTAAAGTTTTAATATATTTGAAATTACGTTCAATTAAAATCTGTTCATGCACAAATAAGGCATGGATGGAAAAAAGAAAAAGCAATAATATAATGAATAATGATTAAAAATATAAAAAATATACTTTTTAAATTAATTAATTTGCTATCGATTTATTTTCATATAGAAAAGCATTAATTAAGTGTATTATTATCAGAATTATTTAAATGAATAACTTCTAGCAATTTGAAATGTTCTTGAAACGTAAATGTAAATTTTCTTTTCTTAGCATTTCCTGTAGTTAATATGTTTCATTTCTATATAAATTGGTACATTAAGATGATTAGAAAATTGCACATTGTTTAAAAAGTTGTCTCTATTTTATCAAAAATAATTAATTGGATATGAAATGGTACACAATAAACCACTGAATAATGTAACTCTGAGCTGCAGAAATGTGCATAAAAGCAGATCTTTTTCATTAAGTACATTGAAAAATATTTAAAAAAAATTTTTTTTTTAAATCACACAGCATAATTGCTAGTCTATTTTGTCATGTATTACCATAAATATTATTCTGCTATAGAAAATCAGGGTGAAGTGCAGAATCGCCCTCTTATTCTGCATGTTTTGTTTGGCGCTTTTTTATAAGAGTAAGAAGACCTGGATTTTTGTCAATTTCTTTTGACTTTTTAAGTGAAAATACATCAATATGTATATGGACAAAGGGAGTGCACAATACCGAGATTGTGCAGTTCTCTGATGTTAAGTGAAAATAGGTTGATGTGTACATGGTTACAGAGTTTGTGCAATTCTGCACCAAGCAGTGGGTGATTCTTTACTTTCCCCGAAAATCAAGATTGTAAAAAAAATTAAATTATAAACCCAGTTTAATTTTAGTATACAGTACACACATGATTTGGCAATATAAATTAAGGGTCCCACTTCAAGGATGCCGTTTTTGAATATTTTTTTTATTTTTAATAAGAAAAATATTGTTTCTAACAAGTTCAATAAAATTGGTTTGTGCCTGTTTTGAAAGCAAATTTGAAAGTTGAATCTACCTTTTGCTTTAATCTTAGCGCATGGCATAACAGGATTTGGCAATATTATGATGAGCAGTAAACAAGTAATTTTGGTATTGGTAACAATTTTTAAAACCGTGCCAAGGTCGTACTGTGTACTACGATTTTACCCATAAACCCTTTTAATTTTAATGCAGTGTCATTGATGGGAATAGTAAATAGATGTAAACATAAATTGTACCTGAGAAATATTTATTGTAATACGTATAAAATGCTGTCACTTCTGCTGGTTTTACAAGATAGTTTTTCAGAGATTTTCATTGAAACTCATAAATTTGCAAATACGTTTAAGAGTTTGATGATACTGCAAAATTTAAAGTTTCTTCATAAAAAGCAATGCTATTTTAGGTTCAATTGCTTAACGTATTTTTGTAATGTAGCATCAAAATATTTCAGCTTTTGTCAAATGAAAGTTAGTGATGAACATTTGTTTTTTCGGTTGATCTTTGGATTATGGTAACTTGGCGATTTTTTGGCGAAAATTTGGCAACCAACTCTGCTACAGCAACCCTCTATTTTTTTTTTTTTCACCGCCATTTTGTCTTCACGAAGTAAAGACATGTTTCTTTTCTTTTTATTTACTCAACACTTTTTCCAACAATTACTAGCCGAATTACACTGATGCTAGAAATTTTATGTACAAACTGCTTATCATGACAAATATTAACTGCAAAATTGGGAAAAAGTGCAGAATCGCAAACTTCTTACGCGTTTTTCAGAATAGCACATACACATAAACCATTTACACGTCAACTTATTTTACTTAAAAAAAACATCCTAGAATTGCACAAAATGGCATTGCACACCTCTTACTTTATCCATTACACTGCTATTTCTAAAATTACAAAATTTGCACGAAAATACAGGAAATTTTCTTAATCTTTAAACTCGGTAAAAGCACATATATGAAATTACCTGATCGCGAAAAAGTAATACCCTTTCCAAGGATGAACATTTGCACGTATAAAATAAATAAAATATCCAAAAGCTTTTACCTCTAATTATCTATTATATATAAATGTCACCAAAATTTATACGCAAAAACATTAAAAATAGTTAAAATACTTATGTCAAATATTTAAATTATTTCCATACACGTTTACTTAATCAACTGAAACGTATACCAAATTCCTACAAACATAAAGTCACAAATAACTATCATTAATAAAATAATCACTAAACCATGTACACGTCGACTTATTTTTACTTAAAAAAAAATCCCAGAATTGCACAAAAATGGCATTGCGCACACTCTTCACTATATCCATGTACACTGCTTTTCTGTCATAAGTTAGAAAAATTTCACGAAAATGCATGAAAATTTTGTGAATCTTTAAATCTGGTAAAAAGAACATGTATGAAATTACCTCATCGCGAAAAAGTATATATTCTTTCCAAGGATTAACATTTCCACGTATAAAATAAATAAAATATCCAAAAACTTTTACCTCTAAATTATCTATATTATAAACATCAGCAACGAATTTATACGCAAACATTAAAAATAGTTACAAATACTTAGTGTCAAATATTTAAATTATTTCCATACACGTTTACTTCAACTGAAACGTATACCAAATTCCTACAAACATAAAATTCACAAAAAAACTATAATTTAATTAAAATAATCACTAATCCATGTACATGTCGACTTATTTTTACTTAAAAAAAATCCCGAATTGCCAAAAAATGACATGCGCAACTCTTCACTATATCCATGTACACTGTTTTTTTCTCATAAATTAGAAAAAATTCACAAAAAATGATGAAAATACTCAACGTATACTACTCAAACGTATTCCAAAATACTACAAATATATAACTCGCAAAATCACGATCATTAAATTAAAAAAACTACTTAAAATATAAATAAGCAAAACATTAAATTAATAAAAATTAGATTACAATCCTAATTACTTTTAAACTAAATTATTGCTAATAACAATTTTCCAATAATACCATATTAATTTATTTACTCCTTACATTTAGTACTGTAGCTAGCATTACTGTTGTTCTGTAGCTAGCTGTTGAATATTTTCTCGTAGAATTCTGGTGATTTAGATGTAAAGAAATGCTCATTCAATATCTCAGTTATTGAACCATACTGAATATTTTTCAGTGAAAATTTTAATGCAAAAAATCATTAATCTGTTTGTAATAAATTTATTACATTTTTCAGAGATTAGCTATAAAACTTGACATTTAGTTTTGAAATAAAATATTTAGCACTTGTCTTCAGTAGTCGGCCTTGGCAAGAATAAGCAGCGGTGCCACAATTCAGGCTTATGAAAGTGCAATTTTTTGCCAAATGCATGAAAAAGTAACTGATTATGGTAATTCCTTCAATGTCTACACATTGTAAGTTATTTAATACATGCATTAGAATATAGACATTATAATTATTTAATATGTACATTTATAGAAAGACTTTAAAAAGAAGTTGTATTTGTTTTAGATTTTTTAAAATTATATTTGAATGACTTGTAAAATTCTACTTTTTATTTTGTTTACTACATTTTTTTTTTTAAGAAAATGACATAATCAGAAAATTCATTATTTATAAACTCTTTTTGGTGGCCACAGATCAGCAATTACAGTTAACAATGCCTCAAATGCATTATCAATGCCTATTTGATGGTTGAACATTAGGTCAAAATATATTTCAGGGTACCCCTTGGTGATTTTTTGGCACCATTCCTGTTTATGGCAAAAGCCCTTCCTAGTAAAATGGTGTCCAAAACATAATTAAAACAAAAAATATATGGCAAAAGTATATTTACGGGTACACCTTTGGCGAAAATTGGCAATTTTTGGCATTACATAGATACCAAGTTTGTGCAATTCTATGACTTGTTATTTTGGCTTTCTGTAGCTGTGGTTTTTTGCACTACACTAAGCCAAAATAACAAGTCAGACAATTGCACAAATTCGGTATCCGTGTACCACCAAAAATCGTCAATTTTTTCCAAGAGGCTCCCGTAAATATATTTTTACCGCATAATTAAATATTTGTGGTGAGAAACTGCTATATTTGAAAAGCGAAAATTTGCATACTTGGAAGAAGTGTTAACTATGAGGATATGTGAAAAACTGTTGTATTTTGAAAGCAACAGTAAAAAAAATACCTATGCTCCGATTGGTAACAGTGCACGTTTGTTTCTGTTGCATGCGCAAATCTGTAACCGTTTATTTCTCACCAATTTAAAAACCCACTAAATCACTTTTGCTAATGCCTTTACAGAAGACAAGTACCAAATATTTAAACAGAACTTTGATTACTGAAACATAAATACAGTCAAAAGTCGTTAATTCGGACACCCATAATCCAGAATGATCTATAATCCGGACGTCAAAGCTACAAACTTTCTGCGCATGCACGTAAAACCTTTACGGCTGCGAATATGCATGTGCGCATGCACAAAATGCGTTTACACATGCACGTTTAATGTATAACGGACGGTATAAGCTAAGCTAAAATTATCTAATTCAGTTAATGTTGCAGATTGCGTTGTTCCTTAATCTTCGAATTGGATCCGGCTTATTATTTTTTGCAGACTGTTAAAGCAATTTTATAAAAGTAAGCTTGAACTTTCGATTATGTCAAATAGAATTTCCGATATATATTTACTAATATGTAAAGGATCTACAATGCAGAAGTATATTTCGAAGTCCATTAAACAAAAAGTAGAATTGCTGAAAAAAATGGATAAAGGCATATCCTTTGTTTATCTAACCATTCCGAAATCTGTTTATCAATTTCACGCTGCTCTGTGGGA